TGGGTTGCAAAGGAATTCCAGACATTTTAAAACCAGTATCACAAAGTTAATGTTTAGCTTTTTGAAAAACCAAGTCTTTAGTGACATCCTTTATAATATAACTGCATCAGCACCCGTCTAACTTTGTATCACTGTTCAAAACTCATCGATACATTTCCCTTAAAAGTCCAGAAATGGAACCAGCAAATGATGTAATGGTTATGTCGCTGAACTCGCATAGTTGACTGAGGCTCGAATCCCAGGCCTGGTGGCTTGAAATTCATGCCGGGCACATGTGTGTGTGTACCCAAAATCCCCAGCGGAGAATGGAGAAAAAGGGATTGCAGCATGACCATACCCCCTGGGGGGTGATTTCTCATTTTCTGTCTCTCTCTGTCTCTGCAACAAGTACACGTGCCCTGTAACAAATATCTCTAAAAAAAAAAAAAAAAAAAAAAGTCCCTGAATAGTTTTGTTTTGTTTCATGACAATGATTTAGAGAAATGTTTAGGTAATTTGAGATTGTAGAACCATCAAATTAAATACTCTCTCGTCTAGCAGAACTTGATATTCCAAAGAATCAGTATGTGTGTATAGATATACACCAACACATCCATACTCATATAACTTACTCATATGGTCCCCTATAGCCACGGTTACACTTTCCTTTCCTTGGTTTCAGTTATCTGTGCTACAGTACAATAAAATTCGAGAGAGAGAGACCACATTCACATAACTTCTATTTTTGCATATTGTTCTATTTTATCATTAGTGATTGTTGTTAATCTCTTACTACACCTAGTTTATCAATTGAACTTTACCATACTGGGTTATCAGAAAAGTCGTGATGCATTTTTTAATAGAAAAAATATGTCGTGATTTTTCTGACAACCCAATAGATATGTATGCATAGGAAAAAGGCATAGTATATGTAAGGTTCTGTGTTTTCCAGTTTCAGGAATCCACTAGTTGTCTCAGCATATGTTTCCCATACACAAGGGGAATTACCACATATACATGCATATATAATCATGTGCTGAGTAATGACATTTTGGTCAACAATGGACCATGGAAGTTATGGTGGTCCCAAAAGACGCATACAGGCTATACTATATAGCCTATGTGTATGGTAATCTATCCCAGGTGAGTTTGTGTAAATGCACTCTGTGATATTTGCACAAATATCAAAACGGCCTAACCATGCATTTCTCACCATATATCCCCATTATTAAGCAATACGTAACTAAACATTGTGTGTTATGTAAACGTTGTAATACAGTTATAGCTATCTTCATATGTAATTGATCCATCACTTAAGTTTAAAGTCCCTGAGCCAGGTGGTGGCACAGAGGTAACACAATTAGACCCACATGGGACAGGTTCTGGTTTTATGGCCTACGTCCGCTTGGAGCACATCAGGTATGTGCACATGCCTGTGAGCCAGGCTAGCTGAGACTGGGGTATGGATCACGGTATTGAGTCTTCTGAGGGTCCCTCTCGCATGGAAGAAATAAGTGTATTTTTAAAATATATTGCAGTCCCTTAAATTATTTCATTTTAGAATATATATAATATAGATTAGGTATTGATAATCTTTAAAAAGTGTTACTACAAAGGCTTCTCAAAGTTTATTTTTTGTTCATGATAGAGACTAGATGTTCACACACTAGAAAGAGAAAGAGAAGCTCCTTAACAGGTCTTGCCATGCCAAAATCTTCCTGCAGCCCTCCAGCTCAGCAGGATCTTAGCCATGTGTGCACATGGCAGATGTGTTTTCATATTGGTCCAGGGACCCAAACCCATAGTCAGCCGTGTGGCTTCTGGCACTGCAGTTCTGCTTGCTACTACACAGGCCACCAAGCTGGGTAAAAGTTTCACAAACAGGACACAAGAGTATTAACCATAAAGGGAAAAAAATCATATACTACAGCAAAAACATAAATTTTAGGGCTGACTCCATGGTCTAGCAGTTAAGGGAGCCAGATCCCACATGGCCGTGTATGGTTCAAGTCCTGGACCTGGCAGCTTGAGAAACACACCAGGCACATGTGCACGAATACCCAAAATCTTGACAGAATGGAGAAATGGAGAAGGGATTCCAACATGACCACATCCCACTGGAGGGGGCGCTCTCCCTCTCCCTGTCTCTGGCAAGCATAGTCACTCTCTTCTAATATTTTTGTTTTTAATTTTGCTGGGGGGCACAGTCACTCACCAGAGAAAAACAAAGATGAAGAAAGTAAGCAATCACCCTCCTGACATAGGAATCTCACAACCCCTTCTCCATTTCTCCCTCCCTTCTGGATTTTGGGCACATACACCCAAGAACCCAGCGTGTTTCTCAAGCCAAAGGGTCTGGGACTCACACCACAGAGTCAGCCTTGGGAGATCTAACCACCTTGACCATTGCACCACCAGCTGGCCCACTGACCCTTATTGCAAATTTAAAACTGGAAACAAACCCATGTCCATCAATAGAATGTGTATGTTCAATGCAATATTATACAGAATGGTGGAGAACAAACTATTAGCATGCAACAACATGGTCAAATCTCACAAGTAAATGCTAAGAAAAAGGAACCAGACACACAAAAATGCATGTATTGTATCCACTCATTCATATAAAGTTTGAAAACAAATAAAATAATCTCTGATGTTTGAAGCTGGGATAATGGTTACTCTTGAGCAAGGGAAGTATAGTGGCACAAAAGAAGATTTCAAGGTTCAGGTTAATATTCTTTTCTGGATCTAAATCGTGGTTATTATGTATCCACTTTGTAAAGTTTCATTGAACCACACATTTAAAATTCATGCAGATATCTGTAATTTTTTATACTTTAATAAAAAGTTTATTTTAAAAGCATTATTATTGGGGCCAGCAGGTGGTATGGTGGTGGGGTCCCTAGATTCCCATGTGGCCAACCACAGTTTGAGTCCTAGATTCTGTAGCTTAAAAAGTCATGCCGAGTGCATGTGCGTGCATGCTCAAAATCCCAAAAGGAGAATGGAAGAGAAGGCATTGTGGAGTGATCATCCCCCACCCCCCAGGGAGGGGGCACAATTTCTCACTTTCCCTCTCTCTGTCTCTCTCTAGTGAGTGCACATGCCCTATGGCAAAAAAAAAAAAACAAAACAAACAAAAATTCCTGTACACGGGAAAAATATTTGCCCAACAATGAGCTATCCCGTCTTAAAGTGAAATTCCCTCATCACTAGAAAACCAACTGCTGACAGCCTTTCACTACTGCTTACTGCTTCATCCACTTTTATCTTACTTGGACCAAATATATGCATTGCCCCAACCCAGTCTAGTCACTTCTGAAACTAGTAGTTTTTCATAGCTCAGCATGGGTGACCTAACCTGTGCAGAGCTTGGTGGTAGCAATGGTGAGTTCAGTGCATGTGAGCCTCTGGGCCTCCTGAAATGCACACATGTGGGTGTACATGCAACCACTTTATACCTATGGATGTTCTTAAGCTTCTATTCATGGGACTAGCAGATGGCATAATTTCATAATTTGATATCCAACTGGCCCACCCATAAAATGGTCATAATACACCAAATGTAAGGGCCTAATCCAGATCCTTTGGAACTCTACCACCGGAGTCTCCAAGGAGTCACTAGACTCCTACATAGTCAACCAAGGTTCAAGTCCAGGACCCGGTGGCTTAAAACTCATGCCAGGCACAGGTCATGCATGGCCAAGATCCTGAGAGGAGAGTAGAGGGAAAGGGGTTATGGCATGGCCATCTCTCCTGGGGGTTGATGTCTCTCTTTTTGTCTCTCTGTTGCTCTGGAAAGCACACGCCCCTATAGAAAAAAAAAATCTCCCCCCCCCAATAAAGATTTTATTCATTTCATTTTGAACTGTGGGGGGGTTTCTCCCTTTTTTCCTCAAGGGGGTGTACACCGCCTGGAGTCTGTTGAAGAATATAATAGATATCTGTAATTTTTTATACTTTAATAAAAAGTTTATTTTAAAAGCATTATTATTGGGGCCAGCAGGTGGTATGGTGGTGGGGTCCCTAGATTCCCATGTGGCCAACCACAGTTTGAGTCCTAGATTCTGTAGCTTAAAAAGTCATGCCGAGTGCATGTGCGTGCATGCTCAAAATCCCAAAAGGAGAATGGAAGAGAAGGCATTGTGGAGTGATCATCCCCCACCCCCCAGGGAGGGGGCACAATTTCTCACTTTCCCTCTCTCTGTCTCTCTCTAGTGAGTGCACATGCCCTATGGCAAAAAAAAAAAACAAAACAAACAAAAATTCCTGTACACGGGAAAAATATTTGCCCAACAATGAGCTATCCCGTCTTAAAGTGAAATTCCCTCATCACTAGAAAACCAACTGCTGACAGCCTTTCACTACTGCTTACTGCTTCATCCACTTTTATCTTACTTGGACCAAATATATGCATTGCCCCAACCCAGTCTAGTCACTTCTGAAACTAGTAGTTTTTCATAGCTCAGCATGGGTGACCTAACCTGTGCAGAGCTTGGTGGTAGCAATGGTGAGTTCAGTGCATGTGAGCCTCTGGGCCTCCTGAAATGCACACATGTGGGTGTACATGCAACCACTTTATACCTATGGATGTTCTTAAGCTTCTATTCATGGGACTAGCAGATGGCATAATTTCATAATTTGATATCCAACTGGCCCACCCATAAAATGGTCATAATACACCAAATGTAAGGGCCTAATCCAGATCCTTTGGAACTCTACCACCGGAGTCTCCAAGGAGTCACTAGACTCCTACATAGTCAACCAAGGTTCAAGTCCAGGACCCGGTGGCTTAAAACTCATGCCAGGCACAGGTCATGCATGGCCAAGATCCTGAGAGGAGAGTAGAGGGAAAGGGGTTATGGCATGGCCATCTCTCCTGGGGGTTGATGTCTCTCTTTTTGTCTCTCTGTTGCTCTGGAAAGCACACGCCCCTATAGAAAAAAAAATCTCCCCCCCCAATAAAGATTTTATTCATTTCATTTTGAACTGTGGGGGGGTTTCTCCCTTTTTTCCTCAAGGGGGTGTACACCGCCTGGAGTCTGTTGAAGAATATAATGAGCTAATGCTGAGAAATGGGGACCCCCGGGCCAGGATGTTGGAGGTCTCGCGAGATGGCCGGAAGCACTCCCTTCCCCAGCTGCTGGATTCCACTGGGACCTCACAGGTCAGTCCTATGGCGTGGGGTCTCTTGCTCTTAACACACAGCTACAGTTAGCTGGTTAGGGACAAAAGAGCATGTGGGCTAGCCCCTGGGTTTCCAGGCTTTCTTTTCTTTTCTTTTCTTTTCTTTTCTTTTCTTTTCTTTTCTTTTCTTTTCTTTTCTTTTCTTAGATGAACAAGGGTTTCCATGTGAAAAAAACAATTGCCCATCCATGTGGGCTGGGAACATGTGGAGCTAGGGCAACAGTACAGAGAGAAAGAATACAGAGTGAGGTTTATTCAAAGAGGCTAGAGAGAAGTCAACCTAATATTTGGAAATAGTAGGGGGAAAAAAATCCCTCATTGGATCTTAGTGTCTTGATCTGCTTCCTACTGTGATTTTTGGAACTAAGAGTTGTTTTCAACTGCCAGGAGACAATGGCGTCTCACAGTCTGTGGTGAACCACCACCGCTTGTTTAATGGGAGCGTCATGTGTCAGCGTAGCAACTGTGTGAGTGGGTATGGGTATGCGTGTGAGGGGGGGATTGTGCATGGGTGTGCACGTGCATTTATCTATGGCTTGTCCTGGGCCCTTCCTGTTACATAGTAATGACTCAAACAGCCAAGGTCTGGAGGGGCTGAAAAGGACTGAAGGGAGTTAGGGCAATACTCCACAACCCTGTTCCAGGGTTTCTTCTCAATCATATTATCCTCAACCCAGAGACCGGGTAGACAGATTCATTCCAAGTTGGAGACAGGCTCAGTCTCTCTCGAGCTTGTGTGTGTTCTTCGGCACCTGGCACCATAGCCCCAGGCCTACAGTGAGGCAGAGAGGAAGGAGAAGAGTACAAGTATGGCAATGATGACCCCCAAAGGGCTTGGAGACTCCGGTGGTAGAGTTCTGAAGGACCTGGATTAGGGCAACTGGGTCAGGCCCTTACATTTGATGTATTATGACCATTTTATAGATGGGCCAATTGGTTATCAAAGAGGTTATATAATTAGCTCCAGGTGATGTACCAGAATTTCTGTGAAGAAAGATGCATAGATCCAGTTGATTATATGTCAGGATCAAGTTTTTGTGTTGCATCTGATACTCTTTACCTGGTCTTAAAAATTAAAAGTGACCAGGCTTCAGGGACAGTTGCTGATTGGGCTATTTTGTATTAAATTCGCCCAATGGTAACTCCAAGTAGTTGGGACACAAAGAAAAAGCAGAGAGAAAAATTGCATGGAACCTGTTAAAACTAATCCAGTCTGATGGCTGAAGACAGGTCTGTGCCTCACTCAGAATGATCCATGGAACCCAGAGTCAGGAGAATCAGAGGTGGTGGAGAGCCATTTTGACAGGCTGTTTTCATCAAGGTGAGGGAAGAGAGGGTTTATTACTGTGACAGCCAAAGCTCTGGCTTTGAGGTAGTGATTTCTTAATGAATCCATTGAGGAAACCTCTCCATATTTATAGCCCAGAAAAATCCATTTTTAACCAGGCTTACAGGAATGAAGGAACATGGGCTAGTGTAAACATTTTAGAAAGTTTTTCTCTCTTCAAATTGTCCTTTTCTCTTCTCTTCTCTTCTCTTTTCTTCTCTTCTCTTCTCTTCTCTTCTCTTCCTATTGTTTTCCCCTTTCTTTTTCTCCCAGGATTTGCCTTTCTTTTTTCTTGTTCCCTTCTTCCACTTAAAAGAATTGCTTGGAATAGAGATAGCCAATGAAACATTCTGCAGTGATGAAAATGTTTTTTATCTGTCCTGTCTAATCTGGTAACACACATGTCTTCTGAGCACAGGAAAAGTGGCTAGTGAGACTAAGGAATATATGTTTCATCTTAATTAACCTTAATTTAAGCATAGATGGCCACAGGTGGCTAGTGGCTAACAAAAAAACCGGGTCTAGAACATGCGGAGGGGCCAGCTTGGTGACACAGAACGTTCACACTGGTCAAACAAGTCTGGACCCATTGGGAAGGTCACAGATTTGGTTCCTCCACAGACCCGTGTGTCCAGGCACACACACCTGTGGTGCTGACTGGAAGGCTGAAAATGGGGGATCACAGCATGAGACCCAATTGAGGGGTGCTTGTCTTCCTCTTCGTTTCTCACTCTCATGAAGAAATAAACTTCAAAAATAAAAAGTGTAGGGGACCCTTGAAACCTCTCTGGAGACCAGTGAAGGATGTAGACCTTTGGTTCCCCAAAGAAAAATGGAGTGAGGTGTTGCTGAAGATGGGTGACCAGAGAAAGAGTTTCTGCTTGAGTTCACACATGCATCTCTGTGTGAAAGGGTTGAAAATCACCCTATGGGCTATTACTCTGAAATAAAGGTGAACAATTTTAATAGAATATATTCATTAAAGGAAATAAACATGGGGGGTGGGGGGAGGGACAACTATGGGCTCTATCCAACCATCTCTGCGATGGTTTCAGTAAAAAGGCAGTCACCTTGCCAAGCCCACATCATTCTATTAATGAGTCAGAGCCTGGGAAGGCCAGCGTTGCTGGCAGATATTGGGTAAAACTGTAAAACATAATTGTTCTAAGATGCCAGGAATACAGAAATATCACTGGGGGACATCTCATTCCTACATTTGAATGTAGAAATGAAGTTAAGGGTAAGAACTATTTTGTGGTGTCTCTTTTATTAAATATAAAGTGACTGGGGAGGGGATTATGCTAGAATATGTGCATCTTTTCCAAATGTATTATTCAAGAATAGCAACGCACTAGATTGTGGACATGCTTCAGCAGTGGAGTCACTAATCTCGTGTTTAGTTACAAATTGTGCACCATGCCTACACATACGTAAATTGTGGGTGATGGGCATGAAAACAGGGTTGAGACTTGGGCTGCTCTGTGCCAGAAAGGGAAAGTGGAGCTCCTGGGAAAATCTGTTATTTTCCAAATGTGAGGGATTAGAACTGAAGTTGCTGCCGTCTCTCGGTGGGATATTTTATGTGGAATAATAGTGGACTGGGTTTGTGGTTTGGGTTTTATAAGAAACAAGGGCTTGCTGAGTTTTTAAATGAGGAAATTAAGCTTCAAATGGTGAGCTGCTTTCCAATCATGACTATGAGCTTGAGATGGGGGCAGTAGGTGACTTCCAAGGGAGAGCCTGACCACAGGGTGGTCACACCACATCTCTGAGGCTTCTTGGTTTGGGGTTTCTGACTCCATTCCAGAAGTAGGATCTGTGCAGTGCAGTCAAGGAAAGAGCAACACAAGGTGCTTGTGGTCTCAAAGCAGTTCTTTGCATGGGGGAAGACAATGTTTTGCAATGGGGGCTATTCCTCCAGTATTCTTCTTTGTGTATGTGTGTACACATGTGGTGCTTGGTTAGCTGCAGATATCCTATGTCATGACCCTCCTGCCTCAGGCTCTCAAGTAGCTGAGACTATAGGTGCACCACTGTGCCTAGCTTTTAGGGGCGGTAGAGAATCAAACCTGGGCCTGTCATGTGGTCTTAGCCTGCAGCGTTGTGTTCAGCACACAGTACCACAACTGGGCCCATAATAAACTTTCTCTAAGCCACTGGACCGGAGATGAGCCACAGGTAAATGGTTGTCTCACATAAAAGGCAACCGTGATATTCCAAGTCTTAGCATATTTCTATGCCTGAGATCACAACATGTATATCTCTGACTATCTCTGACCTTGCCACATGCTCATCCTTAGGAATACCACATCGTGAAGAAGTCCACCCGCTCCTTGAGTGCTACTCAGGTGGAATCTCCCTGGAGACTCATACGGCCATCTGTCATCTCTATCATCGGACTGTACAAAGAAAAGGGCAAGGTAAGCTCATTTTTACAGTCTGTTTTGCTCTCCAAGTGAATGTTTTCATGTACTTTTGAATGGTGACTTTTAAAATTGTATTTATTCATTGGGACCAGCAGGTGGCATGGTGGTTAAGGGCACTGGATTCACACATGGCCCAGTCATGGTTCAAGTCCCAGACCTGGCAGCTTGCTTTCTTGCTTTCCCTTTCTCTCTGTCTCTGTCTGGTTAAATTAAAAAATAATAACAACCGGGACCAGCAGTTAACATAATGGCTATGTCGCTGGACTCCCACATAGTCGACCGCGGTTCGCGTCCCGGACCCGGTGGCTTAAACTCATTCTGGGCGCGTGTGCGTGCGTGCCCAAGATCCCGAGAGGAGAATGGAGGAGAAGGGACTGTGGCATGGCTATCCCCCCCAGGGGGTGATTTCTCACTTTCTGTCTCTCTGTCTGGTGAGCGCACGTGCCCTATAGCAAAAACCTCTCCAAAAAAAAAAAAAAAGAAAAGAAAGAAAATGTATAAAAAATAGTAACCAATAGAAATAAATAAATAATTTTAATTTTAAAATGTTTATTTATTAAGTTAGTTAGAGTGCATGTGTACTTGTCAGAGAAAAAGTAGAGAGGCCCCCTATGGGTGATGGTCACACCACAATCTCTTCTCTTTCTCTCCCTCCTTTCAGGATTTTGGGCATGCATACACATGCACTTGGCATGTTTCTCAAGACACTGGGTACAGGACTCAAGCCATGGGGTTAGCCATGTGAGATCTGCTGCCTCAACCACCAGGCTATGGAGCCAGCATTTTTTTTAACATGAAATAAAAAGTAACAGGTATAAAACGAGCTATATTAAGTGTCCTTTGTATAGATTCAAGTGGATTCCCTGGCATTCCTTTCTGTAGGCCTCATAGAGAGAAATGGTCACAGCCTCTTTACTCTTATGATATGAGGAGTTGCAACACCTGGCTGCTAGGGCAGGATCAAGGTGAATGAATGACCTCAGCATTCACCTCTATTGAAAGAACAGCTGAACCTGCAGCTTCAGGGAATAGTCCTGTTATCTTTTTGAATGACCTTCATGGCATTGCTATTACCATAGAAGGAATGATACGAATCACTTGACATTATACAAACATCAGAATATCCATTTTGATAGTATATGAAACGGAAAACCCATAACAAAAGAAAACACATACGGTGCCTCCACAGTATGAAATGACTCTTGTAAGTCATCTAGTTGATCAATATGAAATTACCATATTTGGATATCAAAGATTGTCAGATATTGACAATTCCATGTGTTTCAACCTAAAACTTTCTCCTTTTAACATAAAGCATGGCTAGTGTAAGGAAATAGATTTGAGAAGGGCAGTGGGGAATTTGGAGCTGATTGCTTAATTCAGTCTGATTGGGAAGGACATTTCTGTTAAATATTACAAGGGGAAAGATAGCCTCGGTAAAATACATGCTCCATTGGAAATGATGACCTTAGTTAAATGCTGCTGTGTCAACTTGGACTCCCACTTGCTCTGGATGTAGGGCCTTGGCTTTAGCATTGCTGGAGGTCGAGACTGCATTCGAGGACAGATGGGAATTTTTGTCAAGACCATTTTCCCTAATGGATCAGCTGCAGAAGATGGAAGACTTAAAGAAGGTAGGAGAAAACCTCTCGGTAGTTATCAGTGAAGTGAGTTTCCATCCCATAAGAACAAGCCCCCTTACAAAGTATGAAGTGAATGACACAGTAGCTAAGGGCATGGGCTAGAGCATCCAGTTGACCTGCAATGAATCCAACGTTTATATATCATGACTTGAGCTACCAGTATAAACTAAGCTTCACTTTCCTTGATTGTAAACTTGGAATATTAATGCCTACCTTGAAGGACTGTAAAGATTAAATGAGATAATATGTGGAACGTGGCTCTCTATTTTTATTAGGGCTTTTAAATGTCTGTTGCATCTGCTGGGTCCTTGACCATGTTTCTTGCCTTGAAAATTTGTGAGTTTACAGTCCATTCCTGCCTTGGGGCTGTCATAGAAACCCTAATCATTAGTAGAGTACTTGGTCATTAGTAGGCAGCTAACATCAACTGCGTTGCAATCAACCACCACATAATTTTGTTCCTAAGTGAACATCTTTTATATTCCCCATAACGCATATCATTTTGCCACACAAATATATTAGACAAGTGCTTCTGAATGCAAATTAAATTGATAGTGATGTGCCAAGTTCTACCTTGCAAATATTTTTTTTAAATGTTTGAATACATCTTTTATTTTCTAGTGCTTTACCAATTACAGTGCATTTCCACATAGTTAAATTATTTCATTAACTGCATTACAAACCTATTAAGTAGATATTTTGGAATAATAATTTTACAAATGAGGATGTTGTCACTCAGAAATGTTAAGTGACTAGAGGCCAGCAGTTAGCATAATGGCTATGTTGCAGAACTCCCATGTAGCCGACCACGGTTTGACTCCCGGACCCAGTGGCTTAAACTCACACCAGGCGCGTGTGTGTGTGTGTGTGTGCCCAAGATCCCGAGAGAATAGAGGAGAAGGGATTGTGGCGTGGCCATTCCCCCTGGGGGGTGATTTTTCACTTTCTCTCTCTCTGTCTCTCTCTATCTTTCTGGAGAGTGCACACACCCTATAGCAAAAACCTCTCAAAAAAAAAGAAAGAAAGAAAGAAATGTTAAGTGGCTAGAGACTTGTCCCACCCTTAGTAAATAGCAGAAGTAAAATTTAAATCCAGTTTCTGATCACAAGTTTAGTTTACCTCCCCACCTTTCTACCACTACCTTGTTTAAATATAAGACCAGAGACTCAAAGCACATTCCTCTTTAACATGTCATACTTGAGAAAACAAAATTTCAATAAGCCAAAGATTTTTTTAATGTATGTCTACAATAATTGCTTCCTTCATGAATCACGTACACTGATTGCATTTTCTACAAACTTCTTATTTCTTTTACTATGCCAGAGGGCACATGCATACAAAAGAGAAAGAGAATACCCTCCTTTGGAGCCTGGTCCCACCTCAATCCTTTTCCTCCAGCTCTCCATCCCATCATGACCCTGGGCAGATGTCCAGTATATAAGCCACTGAGGCATGGACTATCTTGGTCAGCCATGTTGGGTCCAACTTCCTCTGCACGGTGCTTCACCACTGTACCACAGGGCTAGCCCAGTAACCGCTGTTGATAAAAAGAGACCATTCTTAGGTACATGTTTGTGTATCTATAAATTTACTATGAAACACCTACCTAAATTGAGACTACATACCTCTATGAAATGACCAACAGGTTCTAAACATATTTGAATCAATATTCACCAATGCATAAATTTTTATTTCTCCTCTCCCTTATGAATACTACTTCCTTCATAAAACGATTGAATGAGAGTATTTCTAGTTACTTTCAAAAACACAGTGACTTTGCAGTTAGTTGACCCAGATTATAGGTGCCATTGTGTTATACTAGCTTATTTTTTTTAGAAATGATAGAAGGTGGAATTTCCCCGTTTTAGGCAGAGCAGCCATAGAAACATGTAATATTAACAATAAGACATAACCAGGCTTACTACTTGCATGACAGGATATTTATTTCATTCTCTTAGAGGAAGGGTTGACTCCCAGGTGGCATTTGTGTCTAGTTTCAGAACAATGTAAAATTCTAGCAGAGCATTTTTGTAATGGATGTGCCATGTGTTCACTTGATTGAAATTCATCCTGCAAGAGTGGTGGAACAAAATGGAGAAATAAAAAAATTAGTAGTTAAGAAAGGCTAATAGCACTTGGTTCTCTTATATAGTATTTTTCATATGTGCTCCTTTTCCCACTTGGAAGCAACCAAACATGTAAACCTCCTCACCTAACTGAATAACTGTTTACGCCAGGTAATGATTCACTTCGTTTACAATATCTGTAATTGCGTTAGAGAGACAACATATAACAAAAGCATGGGGCCCTGTTCGATTTTTGTAATTCACCTACAGGATTCCTTTAGTCATCCACACAACATGCTCCTGGGATTGTCTAGAGAGGTAGAAATGCATGTGTCATTGCTGCATTGTACTTGCTTATAGGTGTACAAAGTCTCTCTTTTGTACTGAGCTGTTGTGCAAAGTTCAGCTGTTCTCTCTGGAGCATCTTTGTAATGTTTTTGATGAACTATTATTCCAAAAAACAGCCCATGTCCTAAGAGTACAAACCAGAAACACGGCCTGATAAGTCAACATGGTGTCTAAGTTCTTTTAGATTGATACTATCAACAGCTTGATAAATGACCTGACTGCGCCTTCTTAGGTTGAAGATGATAGGCCAGATGAGTGTGAGGGGAGGCGAGTGAATGTGTGCTTGCACATGCCCCACAATTTCACATCACCCTGATGTAATCGCTAAGTGAGAATCCTACAGTACTTGCCAGCTTAATGACAGAGGACCTGGAACCACATCCATAATACAGATATCTAGACTATTTCTGGAGGTAGGGCAGCCATTTCTCAATAATATCCCAGCAATTATTTTGCCTCTACCATTGAAACCGTTTTCTATCCACTACAATGGTTCTCTGGGTTCAGAAAGCTTGTCTTTCTGCAAATAAAGGAGTGGCTTCTCAAATGTTGTGTGTGTTCATGCTTCATTGCCAGTGGGTTTAAGTTTTTAAACAATGACTATGAGAAAAGCTTTGGCACTCAGTTTCTGCAGTTGAATCTCTAAATATAGCACATCTATTGTCAAACTTGGCAATAGCTAAAGAATAACATTTTAATGCTTCCCTTACTTGTTTTTAGCTGAAGATTGAAATATAGAACTACTACCAAAGAATATTATCACTAATCATCCCATTCGTGACATTCGAGGGAGCTAAACTAACGAAAGTAGATTGAAACAATAAAGTTTATTTTATAGAGTAGTAAATCAGGGACCATATGGTATCGTATTCTAGTACTGACCCAGCAGTTAAGATTCCAGTAAACTAAAGCTGAATGTTAATGCAATTCTCATATTTGGTCACTAGGGGATGAAATCCTAGATGTAAATGGAATACCAATAAAGGGCTTGACGTTTCAAGAAGCCATTCATACCTTTAAGGTAACAACATTCTTATTGATCTCCTTTATTCTCTCTCTGTTTAGCCTTTATTTTCTTCTAGTTTGGTTTGGTGATTTTATTTTCTCCCATTAACATAAGGACCATCTCAATGTCTTAGCCCATCTTCCTCCTTGTTTTCTCAGCAAATTCGGAGTGGGCTATTTGTCTTGACGGTACGCACAAAGTTACTGAGCCCCAGCCTCACACCCTGCTCCACACCCACACACATGAGCAGATCCAGCTCCCCAAATTTCAACACCAGCGGGGGGACCACAGCGGGAGGCTCCGATGAAGGCAGTTCTTCATCCTTGGGTCGGAAGGCCCCTGGACCAAAAGACAGGATTGTCATGGAAGTAACACTCAACAAAGGTAACACTAGCTATTCCTCACTTCCGTTGGGTTCTCCTGAATAACAATTTGGAATTTGCTCTTAGACTAATTTTTAAGATTTCCTTCTGAATCGTTCCTTTGGAACAATGTGCTACTAACAGATGGTATTCCCTAGATGGACAGTGGGATCAGAAGGGGAGATTTTAGACATCTACAGAAGTGAAGGGAAGATACCAGGAGCACAAAGTTCTCTAAACTCTGCCCAGATGAATCACCATGTGTCAAAGACTCATGTTAAAACAATCACTGACTAGTTTCAATCTAGGGCTAATGTAAAATGTTGAAGAGCAAAAGATTATAGCAAAGAATACAATTAATACCAGTAACTAAAGGTCATGAGTGATCACCAAACTTACTGCTTTTCATCTTTGTATCCATTTTCTCCCCACTAAAAACAGGATGAACAGATAAACAACAAGAGATTAGTTGCTACATAGAGGCAAAAGAAAGCCTATGGTTGTATATCCAAAATAAAAAATATTGCTTATACTATGCCTATTGCCAAATAATGATTCCAGGAAGTTTTTTAAGGCTCAACAGAGGGTGGACCATTCACAGTCCATGGTTAGCCCAGGTTAGAATAGACTCCTTTCATTAATAGAATATGGTAACATTGACAGCGAAAAGCAAGGTTTAGATTCTGAGTCTGGACCCAAAATAAATGGTTACCAATCTGATGCTATATTAATGCAGTTTCAAATCAGTTATACTTTTCTGATTACTATGTAATTTTTCTGATTTTGTTTTTATAAATCATGCCTCTCACAGAGCCAAGAGTTGGATTAGGCATCGGTGCCTGCTGCCTGGCTCTAGAAAACAGTCCTCCAGGCATCTACATTCATAGCCTAGCCCCCGGATCAGTGGCCAAGATGGAGAGCAACCTGAGGTGTGTATACCCGATGACATAGGGCTCCGATGTGTTCATGAATATATGAGTACAGATACCAGAAGACATGGCTGAATTACATTCCTTTGTGGGATTCTAAATCGTCAAGTTATATCCTCGAAGATAGCTAAGATTAGAATTAATAGCATCTCTAAAAATGAAAAGCTGATATAAATGAAATTTGGTTGAATTAAGGAACCCCTATTCTTGGCTTCTCTACCTGTTTGTTCCATTTGGACCCCAAAATTCAGTTTTAGAAACTTGGTGAAATACAACTCCATATGGATATCCATGATTATCTCAATATTCTCTTTTACTTTTATATTCATTTCTGTAAAATTCACAAGAAATACTAGAACTGCTGCTCATAAGAGTTCAGAATCACTAGATGCAACAGACTTGAAAATCATACCCTTGCTTGGGACGCCTTATTAAGTCTGACGAATCCCCAAGAAGCTCATGGAGAATGAATATTATGAAAATGAACATGTATGGATTTCAAATTTTTTTAATCAAACTCATACTTTAATTCCATTTTCCCACCAACTTTTTGAAGTACCCTCGTATTACTTCTCGGATCTTTTCTGTTGCTTTCAGTTCTTATTAAATGGTGACGTCCAGGTGCTTCCCATCTGAAATCACTGAGTGATTCTGACTTCTTAGTCCAGATAGTTGAACTAAAGCATGGGTATCCTGTTTATACAAGAGCTGTCTAGGTGTGCTGTTAGATAGTAATTGCAGTGGGTCAGTGCCCACCTAAACTCCACAAGAATGTGCACCCGCTGCACAAAGCACTCTGTGTACACAGTATCACATTTCTCCTGTGTAAGCTTCTAAGTCCTTTCAACAGTTGAAGAATTGTCAAAATGGCATTGGTTGAGGTTGTCATTTGGGGGCCCTGCTAATAGATTACATTAGGTTTTTAGTTAATCATCAGAGTGAATTTCCATATGAAAAATAGCAAATCATCCAAAGTACATTAAAGAAAATATACTTTCAGAATCATGGAAAAAATATCATTTAATGACATCCCAAGATGATGTTTCTTTCTTGAATGGTTCCATATGTCTGGAGCCTGCCAAATGAACATTCTTCAAACCTCATAGAAAGAGTCTTTGTTCTCTCCCACTGAGGTCTCTCCCTATAATTTCAAGTCCAAATGGGCAACTTGTCCCCAAATTCTCATTTATTCAAATTTGAAACATTTTTACAAATTCTTGGGTAACCTTTGAGCTTCAGATATTTCCTCCTTAATTTATATTACAATAATCATTTCAAGACCGTAGGAAGAAAGAACCCAATGGTAGTTGAAAAGCTATCACGTGATGGTGAAGAGTCAGATATACCTGAGTTAGTTCAACAGTGTGTGATATCTAGGTGACCTCTCCGACCATGTGGCTGTATGTACCGAATAGGAATAATTGTATCTATTCAAAACATTGTTATATAAATTGCTTTGTGTAGCGCTTGGCATGCAATATTTGCTCAAGAAATGTTAGATTTCACTGATGTTCTTATTATCAATTTTATTTAACTTTATTACCTCTTTTTCTTCCCTTTGAATTGTCAGAGAGTATGTGCAGTGAGAAAAAACAGGGAGAGAGAGAAAGGGAGAGAGGAAGCAACCCCCCTCCCCCCCAGTGGAGCATAGTCATGCTGCAATCCCTCCATTTTCTCCTTCTTGTTGGGACCTGGGGGTTCTCATGCACATGGACCTGGCTTGTTTTACAAGCCACCAGCCATATTACCACTGGCTCCCTTAACCACTGCACTATGGAGCTAGTTCAACTTTACTACTTCTGAAAATGCCAGTAGATGAGCATCATGGTCTTTGCCAGTTTAAAATGTAATGTGTTTATATGAGTGTGTTACCTTTTTATATGCATGGGAAGATGAAAGGATACCATTTACTTCTTTAAATTCAGAAAACATTTCATCTCATAAACCTCTCCCAGAAGCAAAACTTTTTTAGCTTTTAAGAGTGTGGTTATGTATTCCTCTCTAGCCGGGGAGACCAGATCCTGGAAGTGAATTCAGTCAACGTTCGCCATGCTGCTTTAAGCAAAGTTCACTCCATCTTGAGCAAATGCCCCCCAGGACCCGTTCGCCTTGTCATCGGCAGGCACCCTAATCCAAAGGTGAAGTATTTCATTCTGTTCTGAGTGTGGGAAGGCGGCGTGGCTCTTTGTTCTGCAGTAGTATTGCACATTCCTGGGATGACCCGCCCTCTTGGTGACAGTGTGCCCAGCTGGGGTGGGGAGTCAGCCTATAGCTGATACACACGGGAAAGGAATTGTTGATCTGCACTTCTTTGTCTTCACATCTTAGGTTATTTTATTAGGAAATTTTGACAGTGTTATTTGGTGAACTTAAATTTGGTCTGGTGGAAAGTAAGGATGCTGGTGTTTTAGTATTTTGTTGCTAATAATGGAAAATACCTAAAATTGGGTGATTAATAAAAACAGAGTTTCACTCAGCTCACAGGTTGGAAGCCCAAGGTCTAAGGGCCACATCTGGTAGGGGTCATCTGGTTGCAGTGCATCACTCAGGAGAACAGGGAAGTGTGATCTGCTTCCCTGTAACTCTGTGTTCCTCTCCTTATAAACCTGCCAGGATCAATCATGGGGCTCCGCCCCAATGACCTTAATCCTATTCTCCCAAAGGACACACCTTTCACCATCTTAACTAGATCAACATTCCACCCTCCTAATCTCATTATAATGGCTCAACACATGAATTATGGAAGGGCATCTTCAAATTATACCAGCTGAATTCTAATAATTCCCACTGACTGATTTCTGGTGAAATACTTAACCTCTTTGAGTTTTTCCATCAGGAGAATCTGCATGTGTTGGGTGAGATTATTTATGTGACCCTTTTAGTCTTTAGATAAGAATTTTTGTTGTTGTTGTTAACATCTTTTGTTTACCTACATGTTGGAAATTCTCTCATCTTTTCCTTAATGCTAAGCAAGTAATTAATTGTTAAGACAGTTTTCATGAGTTTTAAACTTTCTTCCACAAATGAGAATGTCGGGAACCAGCAGTTAGCGTAATGGCTATGTCGCTGGATTCCCACGTAGTCGACCGCGGTTCGTGTCCCGGACCCAGTGGCTTAAAACTCACGCCGGGCGCGTGTGTGTGCGTGCCCAAGATCCCGAGAGGAGAATGGAGGAGAAGGGATTGCGGCGTGACCATCCCCCCTGGGGGGTGATTTCTCGCTTTCTGTCTCTATGTCTCTCTCTGTCTGGCGAGCGCTCGCGCCCTACAGTGAAAATCTCTCCAAAAAAAAAAAAAAAAGAGAATGTCAAGACAAGACTAGTATAAAAATAAAGTTTTGTGATAGTTCAAAAAATGGCTTTTTAGAATTTAATTTAGGGCCAGTAGGTAGCATGGTGATTAAGACACTGGATACTCCCACATGGCCGACCACGGTTCAAGTCCTGGACCTGGTGGCTTGCTTTCTCACTTTCCTTCTCTCTGTGTGTCTATCTTTCTCTGGTCGAAGGATAATAAATGAATGAATAAATAAAATTAAATAATTCTTAAAAAAAAAAAAAAAGGCAGTATGTCCTATGTTGGATGCTGGATGAAGCCTCTTAACAAAAAAAAAAAGAGAGAGAGAGAGAATTTAATTTGAACTTGGATAATACAAGGGCACTTCAAAAAGTTTATGAAAAATGTATTTAAAGCATGAATTTACTTTGGTGTAAAAAATTTTTAAATCTATACAAAACTCTTAATATGCATTTTCCATGAACTTTTCAAAGACTCCTTCATATATTTTTTGTCATCAGAAAAGTCATGATACACTTTTGCATAGGAAAACATAGACAAATACATCACAACTTTTCCAATGACCCATAATTCACTTACACCCATTTCTGCATTTCTATAAAATTTTTAGGGTACACACTTTGTCTGATACTTTAAGGGAAAAATAAATGCCTTCAGATTTGAGAAGAAATATTTTCTCAATGTTCATTTAACTGTGTGTTGAGTCAAAAAAATACAATCTTATCAAACAATTTCGTACAATTTAAACAAATGGAAATAAGATGAACTCTGGTTTTGCAAAGCAATCACCTATTTGCAAATGTTACTTAGTGAATTTTGTCCCCACCACAGTTGGAGGGAAATAAAACCCAGCATTTCAAATAAATTATAATGGAGAAGTTATGTGTTAAGTTTATCTGCTATTTTGGAAAATCCTTTTTTTCTTGCTGATGGACCAAGTCCTCAAGACTAAATTTTAAAATTCATGCCAGGGTCTTTTCCAGTAACTACTCATACAGATGTTCTCAAATCTACCTAAAGAGCATAAATGCATATTGAAATGCTCCCCACCATGTCATTTAGCTTACATTCACATTTTCCAATACTCGTTTTGCTAGGTCTGCTAAACATATACCCTGGGCCCTTTCTCGGTATATCACATGTAGACAGCTCTATGGGGCAGAAGAGGAACTCCATGTGGTCTTCAGACACAGGACATACGAAGTCACTTCAGTTCATCACATCTCTCAGTTGTGAAGTTACTCATATAACTCTTCTGTTGAGAATAAAACATCAAATGTCCTGGGACCAGCAGTTAGCGTAATGGCTATGTTGCTGAACTCCCACATAGCTGACCAGAGTTGGAGTCCCAGACCCAGTGGCTTAAACTCACACTGGGCGCGTGCGCGCCAAGATCCCGAGAGGAGAATGGAGGAGAAGGGATTGTGTCATGGCCATTCCCCCCCCCGGGGGGGGGTGATTTCTCACTTTCTGTCTCTCTATCTCTCTCTCTCTTTCTGGCGAGCACACGCACCCTATAGAAAAAAAACTCCCAAAAATAGTGGGGGGAGGGGGGAACCAGCAGTTAGCATAATGGCTATGTCACTGGACTCACATGTAGTCGACTGCGGTTCCAGTCCTGGATCTGGTGGCTTAAACTCATGCCGGGCATGTGTGTGTGCATGCCCAAGATCCCAAGAGGAGAATGGAGGAGAAGGGATTACAACATGGCCCTCCTCCCAGGGGGTGATTTCTCGCTTTCTGTCTCTCTGTCTCTGTCTTTCTGGTGAGTGCACGCGCCTTATAGTAAAAACCTCAAAAAAAAAAGAAAAAAAAATCAAATATCCCTTTCTTATAAACTTAGAAATCCTATTTGGTAGGTAAGAGAAAGGATTTTCAGGTCTAATGGTAGCAGCTCAGCTGTAGACAACACCAGCCCATGTGAACCTGCTACCGAATAAAAGGCATAGAGACTGCAGGAGGCCCTGGGGGTAAGTAGGGGTGGGTGTAGGGACTTGGAAGCAGGCAGTCACCAGGTATCAAGACAGCTTCCTATCTCCCTCCAGCTGGTGTGACTCAGATCATCAATGTTTGTCCGGTATCAAATTTATTATCCAATGGTTTCCATGCCAGGACCTCAAGGGTGAATTAGAATATATTGATATTCAAGAAATTTAGGATCTAACCTGAACCTTTTTTATTTATGCTTTAAATGCCAGAGGGCATGTACACATACCCGAGAGAGAACAAAAGGGGGGGAGTGCCCCCAGTGGGGCCTGGTCACTGCTCAATCCTTTTTCCTCTAATTCCCTATTCAGTTAGGATCCTGGGTGTGCACACACATGCCTAGCATGTTTTTCAAACCCAGAGTGACCATGTGGGAACTGGCAGCTTCCGCACAGTGCTTAACCACTGTGCTGCAGGGCTAGCCCATGAAAGGCTTTTCACCGGAAATTCATGCACCCTTAAAGGGCCTTTCTGATTACACAATTATTGGGTGATATATTTACATTTGTGTATGGAGTCACTAGCTCATAGCAAAGTCTGTCTTTCGTGATCCCAATTTGAGAACCGTCTTGTCAGAGTGTGGAAACACTATTGTTAGGTCAAAGCAGAGACCCGGTTTGAAGAGGGACCTCATCTTCTGTCCAGGCTACCCTTGTCCTGACAGAGTACTTCTGTAGTTCAGGCCTAAGAACCCACTAGTTTTTTTTCAGCATCAGTTTCATGCTATTGATCCATACGAGACTTGCGGATAATCACAACCCCAAAGTTGTTTGCCTCTGCTGTTATTTGGTCTTGTTCTTCTGTGCTTATAAGTTGCTTTTCATTTTAACAACTAACCACAGGACACTTAAGCAAGTTTAGTTCAACCCACTTGGAGAGCTGTTTGTTTTTTTTTTTTGCTCTCTTGCATACTCTATGTAAAAAATCTAACCTGTTCCTTTTAACAACTCAGAATGCTCATTAAGAACATTAGCTCTGCGGCCAAAAGGAGGCGCAGTGATTAAGGCACTGGACTCTCATATGGCTAACTAGGTTCGAGTCTCAGACCTGGTGACTTGCTTTCTCACTTCACTCTGTCTCTCTCTCTCCCTCCCTTGTGAGCACACAAGCCCTATAGCACATAATAATAAATAATTATTTTTAAAAAGAACATTAGCTCTGACCCATGCTGTCATGTGACCATACCCTTTGTATTATTTGTAGTATTTTTTGAGTTTATCCTAAAAGGTCCAGGTTGCTGCTGTGCTTGATGGACTCCTATGCCATTGGAAGAGTAAGAAATGTGTGAGTACTAGACTTGTTAGTACCCTCATGTGCCATGTCCGAGGTATCTTGATGGCATCTTTTTTTTTTTTAAGAGAGATTTTTTTGCTATAGGGCACTTGCCGAAGACCTAGAGACAGAGAAACAGAAATCGAGAAATCAACCCCTAGGGAGGATGGCCATGCCACAATCCCTTCTCCTCTAGTCTCCTCTTGGCATTTTGGGCAGGCACACATGCACAGATTCCATGGCATGAATTGTAAGCCCCCGGGCCCAGGACTCAAACCACAATTGGCTATGTGGGAGTCCAGTGACAAAACCATTATACCATCTGCTAGTGCCAGTGGCATCATTTCTGGATCTCAGTGAATAGTTGTTTGTTATACTGGCCCTCCCCAGCACAATAAGTACTATCAAACTGTGACTCCATGTCTTGCTCTGGGTTATGACATATTTGGGCAAAAGTGGCCATTAGGAGTCTGACAGTGGCCACAGCAGTCACCATGCTCTGTGAGGCTGACCCCTTGCCTTGGGAAGGTTCCCGGTTTGTTCCAGGTTATATTAAATAGAAGAAAGTAACAGAAGTCCATTTT